TTTTTTTAAACTCCTTCCTCTCCTTTCCTTCTCTTAAAAGGCTGACTGCCTTGAGATCTTATCATTGAGCTGACCACACCAGGTAATTCAGAAATCATTTTATTAAATTTATTCAAATTTATTGAAATTTATTGAATCTTATTCTGTTCATCTGTTCATCTGACAGCATGTGGATTCAAACTTGGGTCTGTATCTCAATAGCTCATGGGCATGCCAACTCAACAATTTCACTATTATTTGCCAATTTGCTATTATTATTATTATTATTATTATTATTATTATTATTATTATTAATCTTATTTATATACCCAAAATTCACAAGCCCCTTTTATTCTGGGGGGCGTCAGTCCGGTTGCTTATTATCGGCAAGCAAGAGCACAGGAAACAACGAGAAAAGGAAAGCGATAGGAGAATCGGCCATTCCCTTGCAGGACGAGTCACCTACTCAAAGGGGGGGGGGTGGGGGGGCTGCCACGAGCCGAGCCGACCTCTCCCCATACCATACCATAGCCTTCCTGCCAGTATCTGCTGGGCAATTTGCTATTTCTCAGACTTTCCGTGTCTTTTTCTTGTTGCACCTGTTGCAAATTTTTCTGGACAGAAAATAACAGTAAGGGCCTGGCTGCACTACTCTCGAAATGTGCAAAACGAGAGTGAATCTTCGGCTAAAACATGCAAAGATGCACGGCCATGATTTTTGTCTTTTGTGCATGTGGAGAGTGGTGCAGCGAGCACCTAAGTATGGCATACTTTTTTTTTTTGTTTTCCCCCTTATTATGGTATACGCTTCTTTTTGAAGCAAACAAACAAACAAACAAACAAACAAACAAACGAAGAAACAAAGTTGACACCTTTCTATTGTGGGGAGCTGCATCTGGCTGGAAACCGGGTCTGGGAGAAGCCTTCTGTGTTTTTTTTTTTTTTTTCCTGAGATTTTGTTTTCCCTGAATTTAATTTACCTTTATCAGGCGGTTGCGCAATTTTCTTGACAGAGCTTCAACAGCTGGGAGAAGGCTTCTGTGATGCACTATCTCGATCGGGGTCCCCTGCAGCCGGTGTAGGGATCCGGATACCAACTGGTCCTGGGGAATACCAGTGTTAGTGTCTGTTTGGCCCTGATGTGTGTCGTTTTCCATTTCAGGAAAGTACGATCCTCCTTCGTTAGCAGCATCTGATATAATTGAGGCATGAAGATCGGACTCGGACAGAGTCTCTATGAGTCTGAGCACAAGGTTCATTCTCGGCCGTCGATCTCGCAACGCCCATTCCAGGATCATCCTCAGCGAAGGGATGCACCAGCGTTTGGAAGATGAGCGCAGCAACGGTCGGACAAAATTCACCGAATTTGAATTTCGCCGGAGATTGACTGTGTCCGTATCCAACGGTTGATCCGGATTCGCGTCCGTCTCAGCTGGAGGCGGGAGTGCAGCGATCTTTTTCCAGCAAGTGTAATTGCACTGCGTCTCGCTGTCAGAGTCTCTGTCCGCTTCGAGGCTTGCACTCCCGCTGTCCTTGGAGGACAGGTTTTCTGCACCACCCTCCGCACCTGGTCCAATTCCTGGACCTTGTTCAGTTCCTGCACCTGAACCTGCAGACGGTCTTGCTGCTTGGAAAGGGTGGCAGTGAGAGACTGCTCCACGTCGCCCCCCGTTGCACGAAGGGCAAAGCTTATCCATTATGGCATCTGACATGGCACTGGCTTTTTGGCACATCCCGAAGTGCCTCGATGCCTTGCTGGCCCTCGCAAACTGCAGCATGGCCAAGACAGAGCTCCCATCCACTCTGTCATCTCTGAACATGTCAGCTATCCAGTCTTCCTGACCAATCAAGACCAACCAATTAGACACATCATCGACGGTCCAGAGTTGCTGATTGATGGAGGTCAATCTCAGAGCGACTGCGCAGGCAACCATCTTCACAGTGTCGACAGCTTGCCGACCATTCTCCAACAGAGCTTGTAACAAGGTCTTCTTCCCCGCATCCCCTCCTTTCCCATCCCCTCCGAGTATGGGTTCGTGGACTACCTCCCACACAGCGCGGCCTTCGGCGGAGTCTGGGTCCCTCAGGAACTGCAAAATGTACCTTATCAGGGGTCTTAAGCCCCTCTTTAAACCCCATTTAAGCAACAACTTGGGGTCTTCAAGCACTCCTACGGACGACGACGCCGGATCTCCTACAGGTGCACCAGCCACTTCAAGGTTCCCATCACTCAGATGCCATAGATCTTTTCCAGACACCTTCGACTCCCTAAAGGCCCCGATCAGATGATCGTGATGGCTCAGCGCGAGCCACGTGGCAACGTCATCCACCGTCCATTTCTCCATTCCAATCGATCGCAAACGCCGCCTCAGCACAGGGGCTATCACCTCCTCCACTTGTTGAAACCCCTTTTCGCGTGCAATTTCAATCAAAGTTCTTCCTTCGAATTCGGGGACAATGCTTCGCCGGAAGGGGTTATGAAGTCCATATTCCCTCAAGGTCTTCGAGAGGGTTTTCTCCTTGATCATGAACTTGATGATCCTTGCGTGGGCATTTCTCGCGCCAGTGAGAGCCCACTGAATGATGGCTATGGGACTTAGGTCCTGCTGTGTAATGGATGACCACTTGCTGCTGTTGTCAAACTTGTCGCCTCTGCCTCTGTGGGCCTTAGCGTGAACACCTCTGGGGTTTGTTCCTTGAACATCGTCAATCTTGTTGAGGAGATCCTGGAGCAGTTCACCGTTCACTCCAGACTCCCTGAACACCCTGATGTAAGAGCGAAGACCAATCAACGACAGCCAGCTGGCTACCTCATCCGCCATCCAATTGCGCTGCAGGTCGAGCATAGACAAGATAAGGTCAACACATTGGGCGAGGTCGTGTATAGGCATATATGCATCACCACAGGAAAATTCATACCCAGGTAAACCCTAGGTATACCCTAGGGTAGCGTATACCCTACTAGGGTAGCGTATACCCTACTAGGGTAGTGTATACCCTAGGGTAGCATATACCCTAGGGTAGCGTATACCCTAGGTATGCCTCAGGTATGCCCTAGAGTGTAGGGTATACCCTAGGTATACCCTAGGGTAGGGTGTACCCTAGGTATACCCTAGGGTAGGGTGTACCCTAGGTATACCCTAGGGTAGGGTGTACCCTAGGTATGCCCTAGGGTAGAGGATACTTAGCCAGCGAGAGAGGGTGGTGTTGAGCTGCTGCAAGGGAGGAGTTGTTGAGGTGCTGCTGGGACAGGAAGTAGTAGGGTGGGGGTTGCTCTGGCTCTCTGCTGGTACTCTTTAGCTAGGAAAGTCAAGTTCTAGCATATGGGCAAATGTGATTCGATGGTGGGTAGAGAGATAAGGAGGAAGCAGTGAAAGGATGCTATTGGGGGGGAATTATGGACGGAATGGATAAAAGAAGGACACAGGGAGGAGGGGAGAGAGGAGAGGGAAAGAGAGAAAGACAGCAGAGACAAAGGAATGTCCTGAGTGCCGAAGAGCAAGGAAGCAAAACAAGTGAGAAGGGGGAGGGGTGAATGAAGTAGAGATTGGAAGATGCATGGATGGTTAGACGAGGGAGGGAGGGAGGGAGGAGGGAGGGAGGAGGGAGG